ATATCTCCAGAGAAGAAGACTCCACAACCTCCCTGGGCAGCCTGTTCCAGTGCTCTGTCACCCTCAGAGGGAAGAAGTTCTTCCTCATCTTCAGGCGGAACTTCCTCTGCTTCAGTTTGTGCCCATTGCCCCTTGTCCTGTCACTGGGCACCACTGGAAAGAGTCTGGCCCCGTCCTCCTGACACCCACCCTGCAGATATTTATAAGGATTTCTAAGGTCCCCTCTCAGCCTTCTCTTCTCCAGGCTGAACAAGCCCAGCTCCCTCAGCCTCTCCTCATAGAAGAGATGGTCCAGTCCCCTCCTCATCCTTGTAGCCCTCCGCTGGGCTCTCTCCAGTAGCTCCTCATCTTTCTTGAACTGGGGAGCCCAGAACTGGACACAGCACTGCAGATGGGGCCTCACCAGGGCAGAGCAGAGGGGGAGGAGAACCTCCCTCGACCTGCTGGCCACACTCCTCTTGATGCACTGCAGGATGCCATTGGCCTTCTTGGCAGCCAGGGCACACTGCTGGCTCATGGTCACCCTGTCATCCACCAGGACACCCAGGTCCCTCTCCACAGAGCTGCTCTCCAGCTGGTTCTCCCTGGGCTGATCTGGGGGTTTTTGTTTCAGCTCCAGATCCTCTGCGAGGTGGATCACTTCAAGGTAGCGGTCAACGACGCTCACTTGCTGCAGTACAGCTTCCGCGAGAAGCAGCTGAGCGAGATCACCAAGCTGTGCATCGCTGGGGACATCACCCTCACCAGCGTCCTGTCGACCATGATATAACTGCGGCGGCGTGACCGTAGTGCAAGCGTAGCGCTCGTAACACGGCCGTTACAGAAACGCCTGCTTACCTGAATGCTTTGAGGTAATAAAACACACTTGCACAACGAACCTTTGTTTTCAGGAATGTCTCAAAAGACGCGAGAGCTTCCAGCAAGGGGAGTTCCAATGTGGACATATCTGAGCTCTTGCTGTAGAGGCAGCGAGTCTCTTTGCCAGAGGATGACGACTGGGAGGCGTTTGGTTTGCACGGAGAGGAGCGCTCGGGAAGGCAGCCTGTGGTGCCGGGAATGGTCGGCAACCTTCAACCCCGCCTGCTCCAAGTACCAGGCAGCAGTCGCTCACTTGGCAGTTTTGGCCTCAGCTGCTCTGCTGGGTAGAGCAGCTCCCCCTTTTTCAGCAAAGGAATCCAGATAGCGCAGCCAAGGGCTTCATTTCCCCCGCCCCGGGGAGGAGGGGGTGCGCGATCAGGCTGCGAACGGGCTGTGCGCACTCCACAGAAGCATCGCCTCGTCGAAGTTCCCTGCTAGGAAACACTGGAAAATGGGGAAAAACTCCAAAGCCTCTGATCCTGAGTCAAATGAGGTGTTTCAGGTGGGGGGCCAGAGCTGGAGGAAGCAAAAGCTCACCCCTGGACCGTGGCTGGAAGTTACAGAATCACAGCATGGTCGGGGTTGGAAGGGACCTCTGGGGAACACCCAGCCCAACCCCCT